GGGGTGATGAAGCTTTATCATTCATACTCTGGACATGGACGAGGCGAGGCTATTCTTTGGAAAGGGACAGAGTGCTTAGAAAGATGAAGAGTCAACAAATGAGACCATCAACAAGATCCTTTAACACTGTGACTTTAACAGTGGGCTAGAGGGTCTCAGAGATGATGAGAATGGCACAGAATAGTGCAGGGTTCGGGCTGCCTCTTCACAGGGGTGATAGGAGTCATAGTCAACGGCACTTAACAACAAGAACTATATATGCTGAGTGAACTCATTCAGAATCATAAGGACCAATACTACTTAAGACTACCGTAAAAACAGAAGGATAACTAGTAAGATGTGGATAGAAACTCAAAGTGGGAAGGGGAGCAGGAGAATGGGACTGAGAGGGAGTGGGCAGGGGAAGGAACCACAGGGTCACAGAGATTGATGGGCAGAGAAAAGATCAGGAGAAACTGGGGACTTGCAAAGGCGGGGTAACAGTAGGCACAGAGCCATGGTGATTACATTGATAAAACAAGATGTATGCAAACATCAACTCACGGTGGGTCAGAGACCAAACAGTAAAGTCAATAAGATCCTATGAGACAAATTTTCATTCAATTCACAATTTCAGGGGAGAAAAAAAAGACCTTCACTTTTGTATCACAGGAGGACTTGCAATAAACAGGAAAGAAAACTTTACACTGCTTTACATTCTAAACAATTATATGTGGTTTTCCTCTAGATTTTTTCATTTTTGTTTTAGCGTGACAGGATTTTTATGGAGGCTGTTCAGACCTCAAAGGTAAGACATTCGGGTTAATAATGCGGGTATCACAGAACCCAGGAACATACATCAGTTAGGTACCTCGCACCTATTCCCTCTCAAACAATCTTTAATTCTCCTAAACACATTCAGGTGCCAAACTGTAACCCTGGTAGGACCTTCCAGAAGGGACCCATCTTGGAAAAAAAAAAAGGGAAAAATCAGGAGCACATCCTCTGTGGTGAGCAAACAGTATCACGAGAGAGACGCAGCTTGGAGGCCACCTATGGACAACTACTCATTTATTGCATTTCACCTTTTGTAAAGATCACCCTGCATTTCACCACCTAAGAAGTGCTGGATCCACAGGAGCTCATCCCCATATCCTAGACCTTGACAAAAAATAGCCCCTTGGCCCTTTCTTTCCCTTGGGGAAACAAGATTTCCCAACATATAAAAACACTTCCTTCTTGGTGATAGCCCACAGTTCAAGGGAC